AGGAGGGTGACCCTGATCGAGACTGACCTAGGAACAGTACAGAAAGAGGTCAAAGGTATCAGGTCGGAGATGACACAACTAGTACGTTCAGTGCAAGAGCTCACCGAAACAGTAAAGAAATTGGGAAACATGAGGTCGAGGTCCCGCTCACCCAGCCCTGGGAGGTCGTCGTCAGGGTGTTTCCACTGTGGAGACCTTAACCATTTCAAGGCATGCCCGAAACTGGCAGGTAATGCACCTGCAGCTAAAAGTGTTTCTTTTGCGATGGGATCCACAGAGAAGCCTTTAAACAGCCAAGGGGCAGGTCTGTAGACCCGCATGCTCGTCCCCTGCTTGCTAAAGAGACTATTGAGGGTCTACCGCCATGGCCGCCAGATAATCCAAAGGATATAGACTGTCGGAAGAGTACAGTGTCAGCGACTGCGCCTCACAATAACTCTGGGTTAGATATTCAGGGTTTGCCCCCATGGCCGCCTGATAACTGCATAGACTGCAGGATGGGCGCAGTGTGGGAGACTGCGTCTCACAACAACTCTGGACTAGATAACCAGGGTTTGCCGCCATGGCCACCAGACGGCAGAGGCCAGAGTAGCACTAACGGGAGTGCTACCTGGCCAGGTGGTGGGGGAGACGGAGAGATGGATAGAGAGACGGGATTGCCCATAGTAACCATTAATGCTCTGGATGAAGGAACCTCATACTTGATACCGGTGACCTTCCAAGGAACAGAGACCCAGGGGGTAGTGGATACAGCGGCTCAGAACACTATTGTGTCTGACATCTTCTTTGAACAACTGCGTGATAAGTTGCCCATATCAGACCCGGTGATAGTGAACAATGCAGGTCGGGGATATGAGAATGAAGGATGGATAACAGACATGGCCCGTATTGAATTAATGGAGTGACATACCGACAAGAAGTGTTGGTAGCCCCAATAAATGACCAACTTATCCTGGGCCTGGACTTTATAGATAGACATTGTACCAATATCAATGTGCAGCAAAGAACCATCACCATCGGCGGATGTGAGGTTCCCATGACATTGAAGCTCAGGAAGTCTGGGGTATGCAAGGTGACAGTAAGCTCAAACACTGTCGTTAGCACCTCACACTGCCACCCGAGTATCCTGCTGTATCGGATGGAACTTAAACCAATATTTAGTAGAGCCAGTGCAGGAGTGCAGCGATATGCTCTTATGCCGAGGACTTTACACAAGGGACAAGAATCCCCAGTGGTGTGTCTGGTGAACCACGGCCCGACCACACAGTGAAGTTGCACAAGGGACAACACATCGGAATCGTCCGAGGCAGAAGTAGTAGCCCGGGCCGGGGAGAAGCGAGGCTGCTGGAAACCCTGAATGCAGGGCGTCTTCCACTGAGGGGGTGGGAGGAGACGACCTGGAGACTCAAGTTCCGGATCACCTGAAGGGACTATTCGCCAGGTCAAAACGTGAACTAGGACCAGCAGACCAAAATGAACTGGCTAAGTTGTTAGTGGAATTTCAGGATGTCTTCGCACGACATGACTTGGACTTAGGGGACTTCACGGCCATTGAACACACTATCGTCACTGGTGAGGAGCCACCAGTTAAACAACGTATGCGTAGAACGCCCGCTGGGGTTTGCGAGGAGGAGGAAGCTCACTTGAAAGAAAATGTTGGAGGCTGGGGTGATTAGGACCCCGGTGTCCGGAATGGGCGTCAGCTCCGGTGCCTCACGCAAAGGGTGACGGAGGGGTACGCTATTGTGTGGACTACCGAGCGGTGAACGAAAAATGTCAGAAGGACGTTTTCCCCCTACCCTTGATAGATGAGTGTTTGGACACCTTGGCAGCGAGTCGATGGTTCTCCAAATTAGATGCCAACTCAGCGTACTGGCAAGTCCGCATCAGGGAGGAGGATTGTAAGAAAGCGGCCTTTGTTACCACGATATGGACTCTTTGAACATGTGAGAATGGCGTTTGGGTTGTGCACGCGCCCAGCGACGTATGCTAGAGTAATGTCTCTTATCCTCATGGTCTCAGCTGGGGAGATTGCTCGCCTTCCTGGATGATGCCGTGGTAACTGGCCTGGCTGTTCCGGACCATTTTCAGAACCTACGTGCAGTTCTGCAGCGGTTCAGGAAATACAATTTGAAGCTGAAGCCCAGAAAATGTGAACTGTTTCAGCGGGAGATTGAATTCCTTGGGAGGGTAGTCAGCGGAGAGGGGATCCGCGTGAACCCTACTAGCTTGGGACCGGTAGAGAACTGGCCCAGACCAACCACTACACGCGAGGTGGAAAGGTTCCTGGGGTTTGCCAACTACCACCGGGGCTTTATCAAAGACTACGCTAAGACGGCAGCACCCTTGAACGCCATTACGGGGAAAAAACCATACGAGTGGGGAGAGGAGCAGGAGGAAGGTTTCCTGGACTTGAAGCAGGCGTTACTGACAACACCGGTGTTAGGCATGCCAAACAAGGAGGACATGTTCGTCTTGGACACAGATGCCTCAGACGTGGCCATGGGGCTGAACTCCTGCAGATACAAAAGGTCGGGGGGAAAGTGATCAGCTACGGCAGCTTCCGCCTTAACTCCGGGTTTCTTGGCGGTACTGCACAACCCGCAAGGAGCTATTGGCAGTGGTGCGTTTCACAAGGCAGTACCGTCACTATCTTCTAGGGAGGCATTTCGGGCACCCGGGACGGACCATAACAGCTTAAGATGGCTAATGAATTTCCAGGGCACCTGAAGGGCAGCTTGCTCGCTGGTTAGAGGAACTGAGCCAGTACGACTTAAGGGTGGAGCACCGTCCAGGAGCCAAACACCAGAGAATGGGGACGGCTTGTCCCGGTTGGCGGCGAAGTGGAGTGTGACAACTACCGGCGATTCGTGGAGCTCCAGGAACTCCCATGTGGGGGTGCCGATACTGCCAGAAGGCACACCAACAGTGGGGACAGTTCCATGAAGAGGTAGACTATATGTGATCCCATTGGCGGGCCGACCCTAGGGCGGTCAGGGCTTTGACAGTGGTGGAAGAGAGCAACCACCTGACAGAGGGTCCCCACCGGAGAGGATGCGGTGGAGAGGGAGAGTCGGACAGAGAATCAGGCGCATACCCTTGAAGTGAGTAGGTCTGAGACAACCTTCTCAGTAAGGACTCTCACAGTACCAGAGTGCCCACAGAAGGGGGACAAGGACTCTTGGGACGGCTCCCTGACAGCACTGAAGATCGCTCAAGAGGAAGATAGCGATCTCAGACATCTACGTAGATGGGTGGACGGAGGTGAAGTACCATCAGACTCAGAACTATATTTGTCCAGCCCGGCCGCCAAGTCTTATTGGGTGGATAGAGAACTATTCGAACGAAATGAGGAGGGAGTACTGGTGAGGAAGGGAATTCCAGCAGTGAATGACACTGAAAAACTGCTGATACCCAGGACTCTACAGCGAATGGTGCTTTATCAGATGCATGACATCCCATCAAGCGGACACCTGGGAGTGACTAAAACCAAGGAGAGGATAAAGGAGAGGTACCATTGGTACCGGTGCGGGCAAGACACCAGGGACTATGTGTCGGAATGCTCCGCTTGCAACCGGAATAAGAAACCATCACGGAAGGCCCGGTCAAGGATGACCCCATTCCATGCGGGAGCCCCAATGGAGAGGGTGCACCTGGATTTTATTGGCCCATTGCCCACAAGCAGAGCAGGGAACCAACATATTCTCATGATGGTAGACCAGTTCACCAAATGGGTGGAGTGTGTGCCTCTCCCGAGCCAAAAGGCAGAAGTGACAGCAAGGGCAGCGGTGAACGAATTCTTTGCACGGTTTGGGTTTCCACTTCAGATTCATGGACCAAGGCAGGAATTTCGAGAGTCGATTGTTCCATGAAATCTGCCAGCTGTTGCAGATAACCAAGACGAGGACGACCCCATACCGTCCCTCTTCTAATGGACAGGTAGAGAGGTTCAACCGGACACTGATGCAGATGATCCGCTGTTACATATCCAAATCTCAAACCACATGGGATGAATACTTGCCCCAGCTGGCGGGAGCCATGAGGTCCGCAGTGAACCGCCATACCGGTTATACGGCCAATCGCCTGATGCTTGGCCGGGAAGTAAATGTTCCGGCTGACTTGATGTTCGGGGGGTCGGAGACTTCCCCGCAAGAAGGTGACACCAGTGAGTACGTGGCCGGGCTTCGAGCAGCGATGGAGAGTGCCCATGCAGCAGCTCGGAATAATCTGCAAACTTCAGTGGAAAGGATGAAGAGGGATTACGATCTGCGTGCTCGATCTCAGCGTTTGGACCAAGGACAACCTGTGTATGTGTTAGACTTAGGGGCCACGCCAGGGCGGTGCAAAAAGCTGTGCCCCGTGTGGAAAGGACCTTACCTTATTGAGAAAAGGCTCTCTTCTACCCTGTTTTTGGTGACTGGGCAGCGGAGGAAGTTCACGGCTCATCATGACCGGATGAAGTTGTGCCGGGATCGGGTCGTGCCTCGCTGGATGGAGAGAAGGAAGAAACGGGAGGAGGTCCCCACTCTAGAGGGGGGAGTGGGATCTCACGACAAAGGCGGAGGACGGGGAGGAAACCGGGCCCGTTTACTGCCACTGTCGCCAGCCGGATGACGGAGGTTTCATGATTGCATGTGATGGCTGCGATGAGTGGTTTCATGGGACTTGTGTAGGAGTGACAGAGACCATGGCGGAGGCCATGGACGAATACCACTGTCCCACCTGCGGATCAGGAGCAGTGGGACCCTTGGGTGGTGCAGAGGCGTTTTGATCTTTCCGGGCGGTTAGAGGTGTGAGGTCGGGATGGACGATCGTATCAGCGGTTGGTTTTTTGGTTTACAGGAATCCGCATCAGACTCAACCAACATGGATAGAGGAAAGCCAGAGAGGAAGGTTTCGGAGTGGCGGGAGAGGCCTACTCCCGGGGCAGACATCAGGGAATGCTTGTCGGGCGGACCCAGCGAACCGCCGAGGGGACGGGAAGAGAGGGTAGAGTAGAGATGGAGATGAGAGAGGTGGAGAGGAGAAAGGTGGAGAGGAGAAAGGTGGAGAAGAGAGAGGTGGAGAAGAGAGAAGTGGAGGTGAGGCAGGAGCGCCCTACGCGAAGTAGACAACGGAGCTATGGGGAGCGGGTGGTGGTCCGGCCCACGGTGGAGGGGATGCCGGTGCAGGTCGTCATCAGACCTCGGAGGAGATCGCCACCATGCCGGAGACGAGAGGTGGAGTACCAACCACCGCCACCGAAGAGGCCAAGCTCAACAGTGACCAGGCCAGGCCTCCCTCAGGGAGGACCTTGGGGGCCTAAAAGAACAAAGAAGGAGGAGGAGAGATACCCCGTGGTGTGGGACCACTTGGGGCTACCAGGGGCCGGAAGGGGGCGGTTCCTGGAGCAGACCAGGGACAGGAGGGGCCCTCATCCAGGACCAAGGGGGGTCTTGGAGTCGGCACCCGAGCAGACCAGAGACAGGAGGGGCCCTCATCCAGGACCAAGGGGGGTCTTGGAGTCGGCACCCGAGCAGACCAGAGACAGGAGGGGCCCTCATCCAGGACCAAGGGGGGTCTTGGAGTCGGCACCCGAGCAGACCAGAGAAAGGAGGGGCACCCATCCAGGACCAAGGGGGGTCTTGGAGTCGAGGGGTGAGCCCAGGAGGTGGAGGGGTCGAGGATCCAGTTGTCCCGTAGAGGGGTGTGGGACAAGGACCTATAAATTGCAGGACCATGCCTTCTTTGCACATCTCCCTCGCTATTTCCGGGCTCGGTACCCGCAGGATCATCCTCCCGAACGAGATGTGCTGGACAAAATAGTGACGGCCCTACGGCAGCTGGCGTCCTGGATTCTGGGTCCAGGCGCAACCCTGGAGGGGTTACACGAGTTTTGCAATCGGAACGTTCAATTGTCCCCGGATTGCACCCTCCAAGAGAATGCAATAGCTGGACTGAGGCATTTGTGTACGGCCCAGGGTTGGCGCATCCCAACCAAATTCAGCCTGCGGCCCCTGAACTCTCCAGCGTGCCTGAAGCAATGGAGGGTGTTGCTTCATCTTCTGAACTTTGTGCCTCAGGACAAGAGGAGGGAGTTCCGCTTGCTCATGGTTTCAGTGCCCCAACATACCCGCTGGACTGCGCGGGTCCAGGCTCCCCAGGAATGGGACCAGGAACTGGTAGATGTGGGACAGGCGGAGGCCATGTGGTTGCCGGAGGATGAGGAGGTCCAAGTAGGGGGAGAAGATGAGTCCGCGGACATGGGGGCCGTCGGAGGAAGCGAGGAAGTGTGTGGGGAGGTGGAGACATGGGAAGAGGAGCTCGTGTCTGAAAAGTTGGGAGAAGATGAGTCCGCGGACATGGGGGCCGTCGGAGGAAGCGAGGAAGTGTGTGGGGAGGTGGAGATATGGGAAGAGGAGCTTGCATCTGAGGGGCTGGGAGAAGAAGGGACACTCCAGGGGCCAGGGGGTCTCGACCATCTGATTGACGCCCACTTCCACCTGGACCGGACATGGGCGGGCACGTTTGGGAGGGCGCCCCAGGGGACCACTCCCGAACTATTGGCCTCCGCGCCAGAAGTGAGTCACCCATTCGGTGAGCTGCCTGTCTGGGGGGTTGAAGTATACTGCGACCCCCCTACGTTTCCTCAGCGAATCAACAATGACCCAAGATACATCACCGCGGTCGGAATCCACCCAAAGAAGGTCGCAGGCTTGACGGACAAGGTGTTTAGGCAGATTCTTGGTTTCTGGAAGGACGCCCGATGCTTAGTGGGGGAGGTCGGGTTGGATCACTCAGTCCCGGCGTGGGAGTGGAGAGGCCAGGAATCCGCCCTGAAGGAGCTATTGCCACATGTCCCAGCCGGGCGGGTGGTAATAGTGCATGTGAGGGGACCCGCGGGAGATGAGGAGGCGGGGGCAACCCACGCCCGGGCAATACAAATCCTGAAGGGGATCTTACCGCCACAACAGCCAGTGCACGTGCACTGCTTCACGGGTGGAGAGGAAACAGTGCAGGAATGGTTAAAGGCATTCCCCCGGGCCTACTTCGGCTTCACGGGCCGGGTGCAAGGATTTAAGTCAGGCCAAGTGGCTGGTCTGAGAGCGGTGCCGGGTGACCGACTGCTGTTGGAAACAGACTCCCCATACATGCCACCCAAGGGGTATCGCGTCAACTCCCCGGCACTGCTGTGCCTGATTGGAGATATGGTGGCTGGGAAGAGGGGGATGAGTACCAAGGAGCTGCTGGTGGCTACAACTGCAAACGCCGCTCAGTTGTTCGCCTTGTAGAGAGGCGGAGAGCCCACCCCACGGGGGAGTGGGGCATGAAGGAGAATGATGAGTTGAGAGGTTTTCACCCTAAGGAGGGGGTGAAGGGGGAAATGAAGTGTGAAGAATTCTGGGTTCCTCGCCAATGGGAACGTAGGACAAGGGACATGTGGAGAACTGTGTGTCATATTCCATAGGAGGTGGAGCCCGACTATATGGTGCAAGGTACAGTTGGTGCCACCCTAACCGAGGAGTTGATTGGGGATAAGGATGTGTTGAACTGTTGGTTCCACCCGAAAGGGCGGGTGTGATTCCGAGGAGGGGGCTGGGGATCACCCGCTCATGTGAACAATCTGATAAAGGGATGGACCCTGGAACCTGGAGAAACAGGGAGTGGTTTCTCCGGGTGGGCATTCATAAGGAGACCCCCCCATTGGGGAAAGTTAACACGGGGGGTGTGATGGCGTTGTTCCGCGGGAAGGGGCCTATAAAACAGGGAGGGATGTGGTGATCGGAGCTGTCAACCGGAAGTTGGAGGACTCGACGGAAAGTGCCGGAGACAGCCGATCGCCACAGCGAGTTCGTGGAAGCCATTTTGTAAGTATGAATTGCCTGTTTCAAGGGTCTACCCTAAACCGTAGATTTGGGCGCTAATACTTGCAAGGTGCGAGCCACGGCTTACTCCACAGTGATCTAGTATCGTAGTGGACACGGTGATCACTACACTATGTCACATGTCACATAAAGCAAAGTCATTGTGAAATATACAGGCAGACACTGGGGCCAGCGGGTTGTAGACTTCTGTCTGACCGTTGGCGAATCTGCCAGATTTGTCAGAGGGTCAGACGCTATTCGTGAACACTGGGCTCACGTGCGCGATGACTATTTATTCTGTGAGAGACGCGGCATACATTCAAGGGAGATCACTCCGACAGACTTATCTAGGTCTCGTGTAAGCTGGTTCCCGGCTCCCTTTGCTCGCGCTAACAATCGCCAAAGCTAGGAGCCGGTATAGGCTGCCATTTAAAACGCTCTGCTCGTTTATTTGACGTCACATCCGGATTGGTCAAACTGGATTCCGTCGCGATGAAAGATCTGGGAATCATAAGACTTGAAAAGTGAACGTTTTTCGAGAATTGCGCTTACATGGTCCTGGATCTGCGTATGGCTATAAATTACATAGAAATGTAGAATATGCGCTATGCGAGACGGGGCCCAGCTTAGGTCTCGTGATACTGTCATTACAACTACTTCACAGAAATGACAAACTAAAAGACAAAGAAAGTAATTGTAAAATTGTTGCTACAGGTGTGAACCCAAGCAGAAAATATTTGCCAAAACGCAACATGGTCCCCGAAAGATTCGTGCATTTTCAAAACGTGAAAAGGAGAGACAGGGCGATCATGGTCAATATGGGGCTTCACAACGTCAGGACTTGCAAGAACTTTCAACTGCAGTCAGACCACCATCGGCAAACTCATAAGCCGCTACCAGCAAACAGGCCAGGCCCGCGACACCGGCCTAAGACCGCTACATCCGACAGATCCAACTCTGGAACAGCGTCAACGGCGGCGACAGCTCTAGAACACGCCAACAGCAGACGCAGTCCTTCGACGACTAGGTGTGGCTGGTATACGAACCTAACGACCCTTCCGTGGAATGGCCTTGACATGGAGAGAGTGCTATTTACAGACGAAAGTTGGTTCTGTCTGTTCAGAAACGATGGCAGAGTTCGAGTTTTCCGACAGTAGAGGATAGCGACTGGCGCCAAACTGGTTCAAGAAGTTCATCCGTTCGATGGAGGAGGCGTCATGTAATGGGGCGACATTTGTGGACAGAGAACAACTATACTGGTTATCATCCGAGGAAATCTGAATAACCAGCGATACAGGGATGAAGTGTTGAGACTCGATGTGGTGCCCTTTATTCGACAACAGTCAAGAGAAGTCATTTTGCAGCACGACAACGCTAGGCGTCACAACGCCAGAATTATTGGAGAATACCCGCACAACGCTAACGTCAACGTATTGCCTTGGTCAGCGCGTTCTCCAGACATGAACCCCATTGAACATCTCTGGGATCATCTTGATCGTAAGCTGAGACAGCGTGTACCACCTCCAGCGAATCGACAGGAAATTGAACTCTTGACTCTTTTGGACTTATGGAACAGGATTCAATGAGGAGACGTCTGTTGGCGTGTATGGATGCCCAGGGTGGTCACTGATGACGTGTCCCCTGACTCCTGTCTCAGTATGCTACTCTTTTCTTTGAATGAACTCTGATTTGTGTATTTTTTAGATTTGACCCCTTGAGTCTTTCTTAATGAATTGCGGCAAGTCCAAGAGCAGCATTACAATGAATTTTCAGTCCAGTTATGGGAGAATGATTACTGTTGGTAAAATATTTATCGTAAATCCCACATACGACTTGTTTCTAACTTTTGGTCAAGTGAAGTCGGTGATAACCTTTTCCCGGTAGTATATTGTTACCAATCCTCTTTCAAAGAATATCTGTGATTGGATCAACATCTGTCAAGTGACTATGTATTCTGGATTAATCAAGTGATAAACACATACCTGGTCATGTTGCTGTAGACAGCCGACTGATCCTGACACGCTAGCCGGGCATTATATATCTGTAGATCTCATTTAACCCCTTTACCGCTAAACCATGACACAAGGGCTTAGTGCAACCAGCATATGCCAGACAATGCCGTTCCCAGTGAACTTGCCTTCGTTAATAAATTTACAGAGAATGAGAAAAGAAATATTTGTTGTGTTTGTATAATTATGTTTTTAATTGATATGTTCATGAGTTTCTGCGGGTGCAAATATCAACACTTTTCATGGCATATTTAGGTCTTTTGAAAACCGAGCGTAGTATTTGTTATGTACTTTGAGCATTTTGTGAAACGGTGTCTTGATAGTTTGGTAAACAAAGAGGCTGAAAATATGTCAAATCAAGGTGATATTCTGTTCGTATTCAGAAGTAAAACCTATCATACGTTTGTTTCAGGTATTCTTGCTTCAGACCTAAATCACACTTCCACATCTCCAATCTCACCATGTCCACAGTGTGTTAATCAATGATTTACAAACCCACGTAAATGACTTGGAATTACGCTGCTTAACAAACAAACAAACAAACAAATATAACAAATGTTTACAACGTATTAAGAGTTAAAGAGTTGATACATATATTGGCAGACCAAGATGTACACTGTATGTTTACCTATCTGCAGGGCAAACAGAAATTAAATATGCCCGTAGAGTCAGAAATAAAAATCTCATTTTATGAGATTTTATTTCTGAGTCTCTCCGGCAAATGTAATTTCTGTCAAAGACACAATACATGTAATTACGACAGTGCGGAAATTATAAATGTCTTCCTCAAATGATCTGGAATTCCAACTGTGTTTGTAAAGAAAATAAAAAATCCCCGTTGACTACTAGATGAAAAGAGCAACTGCCTATACACTCATAGATAACCAAGTGATCATTTCTTCTGTCCCTCGCCATGATATTGCTGGAATATTGCTAAAACGGCGTAAACGTAACTCACTCACTCACTCACTCAAACAGGATAAACATAAAATGAATGAATGAATGAATGAATGAATGAATGAATGACCAAAATATATTCAATCTGGTATTTGTAAGTCTGAGTATCGATCCACAAAGCCTTCGTAAAGTCAATGGCGAACTGTAGAGTTACGACAGGTCGTAACGTTACGAATGCGTTGTGGATCAGGACCCTGGTTTGCAATTCTAAAGCAAACCCAACCGAGTAAACACTCAGGAGATGCGAGGATAGGACACTTGGACAAATTCCGGACAGATGTATTTCACCGTCGATATCCCTGCATCCGTTATTGTGTATCTGTAAACGTATCGCATCGCACCACCGGATGTCCCCTCCAATATCCCCTGATAGGATATATTAATAACTCGCAACCTGAGCCAGTACCAGTTATACTGATGAAGCACCGAAGCCGCAGTGGATGTATCGCTTTCCGTTTATATATTAACCCAAGATGCTTCGCTCAAAGATCAAAGGCGCCGGCTGTAAAGTAGCCTACACATTTTTTTCATAATGAAATACTTCCTCTTGTAATCTGCTGTTTGCGATGGGAGTACGACTATAATACAACTGGAATAGGGTTTGCGCCTCTTTCAAAAATAGTTTTCATATCGGACACCAAGAATGGACTTTCAAGAACAGAACAACCATTCCGGTGTGACAAGCGAGATCTTTAACCACTGTGCTAGCACTGCTTCTCAAACCAATTGTATCATGCTTACACAATGCCACAACGCCATTTAGTTTCATCATTTTGATAAATGCCATTTAGAAAGTGAAGAATGATGACAATTTGTATAGATATGCAACTTCTTTTATCTCTGTGAAAGGCGACGCTTGGACACAGATTCTAATGTCGTTGTCAAGCAAGTGATAAGACAAAGACATTAGTATCTATGTCGAAACGTCGCCTTTCACAGAATAAAGGAAGTTGTATATCCATAAAGATTGTCATCATTCTCCATCACCTCAACGTCAAAGAGATTTAGAAAGTGGTCAAATGTAACAAATGTCTTATCAGTTTTTGCAGGGTGGGATTACCAAATGTACTTTCAGGGATCAGTCTGTTAAAACATCAGTTATAATTCTCTGCTTTTCTCACGAACGTTGAATAGCTGAGCATCTAGGTGATTATTTAACCATCTCCTCAGCTCTGTGATTGGCAACGAAGCTGTTCCAAGTGTACGCTTGAACAGGAGGGATGGCCATAGGGATTTAACCGCCTAGCAGAACGTACCTCTCCAATACTCTGACCTGGTTTGTTATAATTACATATTTGCTATTGAATCGTTGGTTTGTCTCACCTTTTTGAGTGGCATTATAGAAATTGAACGTGCTAATCATAGAACAAACTTTTATGAATGACATAAAGAAGTTGTCATCCATAAAAGTTTGTTCTATATTATCTCCCTTGCTACAACAGGTTCTTGCATTTATCTTCACCATAAAGCAAGAAGCCAATACGTGATGCTACTTGTCTACAGGCCTACCATCCACTCTACAATGTTCGGGCAGTAAAAGGACAAGATCTACTCTTGATATGACCTCAGGCTGTGATGGAGTAGCCAGGAGAATCAGAAAACAGAGTAAGTATACGTAATAAGGTAATAAACTTCCTGCGAAAGT